GCGGAGGTTGGTCCGGGGGGGGGGGTACCATATATATATATATATATATACAAATCGCTCGGGGAACCCCTTTCCAACCATAGAAAGCAAGTGCTCCTTACAGCCTGGCAACACCTAAACCCTACACCGTGGTATAGAAGCCCTGATAACTAGCAATGCTATTCCCGTAAACCCGATTCTGGTAGTTCGCTAAGTCAGGGTCTCTTTTTCGGTTTTCAAAATAGTACGGACATAAAAAAGACCCTGCAAAAAGGGACCCTAATCTAGAGAACTACCCAACTAACCATCAAGGCCCGTCTATTTATTGAGCATGAACCCCTCAGGCGATCCTTGTTCAGAGGGGTTCCGTCCGGCAGGTAGCCCACGTCGTTCACGAAGTTCGCTCGGGGCAGAGGGGAACCAGGGGCATGACCTGCGAGGGCACAAGCCATTGGCCAGGGGACCTGGGGTGTCATTGCATTGTTTAGGGCTTTGGGTCCAAGTACCTAATAATCATATACTCTCCAACTAGTAACCTACATAACTACTTTCCGAAACCTAAGTACCTACTTATTGAGTCCCTCGGACCCTTAGGGTAGGGCTAAGCTTAGGGTTTATAGAGTCAGGGTTGTTGGGGGTTCAAGCGTAGAAGGAGCTTGAGTCTTGGGCTGTGGGTTTAGGGTTTAGGGTTTGCGATTTCATACCCTATAGGGTTGATTTGGGAGCGACCAACATATAAGGGTCGGAAGAAGTGGTCCGCAGAAGATCATAGGAAAACATATCCCCGAAACTGAAATCAAACAATTCGGGATCGCTTTTAGGACTTGGCGCTGCAAGCTCTTAGGTTCTCCAGCCACGATCTATAACTTATGAAGCGACCTACGATGGGATGAGGGTTGCTAGATAAGGTTAAAGGCTATAGCTCTTGCAATACAGAAGGCGTTTGCAGATCGATAGCTCATCTAAAACCCTTCCGAGAAGCCTTTCTACAACCCAAGATAGTCTCATGATGCAAGTCGCAACCATCGCAAGAACCGGCCTTGCTACTGTTTTGTACTTCCCGGCAACAAAAAAGCTCTGTAGACGAGGCATTAGGGTTAAGGGTTGCGGGCCCTGCCTGAATCTAAAACAGTAAAGTTCTAGCCCCTTCCACCCACAAGGCCAGACAAGTTTCCAGGCAGGGAAGGAAGAGTGGGACGGGTTTTTTTGAAGATTTCACGGTACTGGTTCTAAGAGTGCCGTACTATTTTGTGGTATCCCTGAGACCCTAATCACAGAACTACATTTAAACCCTATTGATCCTGATAGAACCCTTGAAAAACCGCTCCTACAAACCCTGTTGAAGCCGAACCTCCAGATGCAAAGCCCAATGAGCTTCTCAAAAACCACTGGGCTATATTTAAAGAACTTAGTTTAAGTTGCCATGATGGGATGTAAAGTAACAGCGGGATCCCTTTTGTTCTGGTAACTTCGATTAAAGTAAGCTCCTGAACAAGAACCCAGACAAACCTGCAACACCCAGATGTCGATCCGAGGTGCGATCCGGCTGGATGTTCTCGGGATGGTTAATGGCATTGCCTGCAGGCTTCATTTGGGTGAGCCAAACCTTTAGGGTCTCGAAAACGTACATATACAAGAAGCATCAAGGCCATAGTAATAGAAAAAAATACCAACAGCAGCAACAGAAACAGGAGCAGCAGCAGTAGCAGTAGCAACAGCAGTAGCGGAAGCAGTTTTAGTAGCAGTAGCAGTAGCAGTAGCGGTAGCAGTAGTCGTAGTAGTAGTAGTAGTAGTAGTAGTAATAATAGTAGTAGTAGTAGTAGCACCAGCAGCAGCAGCAGTGGTAGTAGTAGCAGTAGCAGTAGTAGTAGTAGTACTAGTAGTAGTAGTAGTAGTAGTAGTAGTAGTAGTAGCACCAGCAGCAGCAGCAGTGGTAGTAGTAGTAATAGTCGTCGTAGTAGTAGTCGTCGTAGTAGTCGTAGTAGTCGAAGTAGCAGCAGCAGCAGCAGCAGTAGCAGTAGGAGTAGTCGTCGCAGCGGTAGTAGTAGTAGTCGTCGTCGTCGTCGTCGTGGTAGTAGTAGTAGTAGTAGTAGTAGTAGTAGTAATAGACAAAACAAACAACAATCATCATCGAAGCCACAATCATAGTCATCATAGACACACTAACGGCTGTCACAACAACCATATCCGCCATAACATGCACATAAGTCATGACATTCATAGTCATTTTCATAACCATAACCATGGCCGCCAAAGAATAATGATAGGGCTGTGTGGGCTAGGATGCGATTGAGGTTTAGGCTTGCCACATTCCATGTCCGAAAAGTGTCTGGGGTTTGACCCCACTACGAGAACCTAACAACTTGGGAGGTGGTCAAATTATTGGGGCGGGGGGGTATACCATACCATTACATAAACCTATAGTAAGGGAACGCTATGCTGCTATGCCCATTTCTTCAGACTTCCATGCCGGTACTTCAACAGAATGACAGCTTTCTAGGTAATAGGGTTACGAGATTGTCGATTCACTGTAGATGGGCTGTAGGCCACAGCCCTGCTCTTGTCATGCCAGCATGCAACCTCAACCCAACACCAAAACAACGCTTCGTCCTACTCCCCTAAACTCTAAACCCAACATCCTCAAACCCTACTCTGCCTGACCCATGGATCTTCAATGCTGATCCCAAACTTTAGACCGTTCATTTCCGTGGGCCGCCTGCTCGATTGATTGCCGTGCCATCCGGAAGGTAGCCCACGTCGTTGCCTCAGCAGCTTACGGGTTGCGTCGGCTGGGGAAGATCCCCCAGTCTTCTGCTCGATGTTCACAGTTTAGGGTTTAGGGTTTAGGGTTTAGGGTTTAGGGTTTAGGGTTTAGGGTTTAGGGTTTAGCAAAGCACAAGTGGGATCATCATTACTAAGACTACGATCATCACAAACATTATGAAAAGCCTCTCTTCATGTTGGAAAGAGCCCTTTCCCGTCTGCAGAGTTGTGAAGTCGAAAGCCCCTATCCTGGTTAGCCAGTTCGTAAAGCAGAGAAAACGAGCACATACGACTGAGGAGCACACTCACTTCAGGCAGATCTCACTGACCCGATCATTTCAATCCCGTTTACGGGATAGAAGTTTAGGCTAGCATTGCTTTTGCTAGGCGCTTGTTTGTCTGATATTACGATGAACAATGCTAATGAACCTCCTTGTCAAGTGGGCTCCCCTTTTGGATCCACTTTTGTACTGAGGACTTGCAAGCAGGGATCCTATAAACAAACCTTGCAACACCCTGAAGACAATACACCTCTTATGAACAACTTGGGTCATATAACCTGTAGACTCATCTCCAAACGGAATTAATAGAGAACCACTATGAAACGCACTTGCAGGACACCCTATCACCATGCACTTACATCATAAAATTTTCACAGTCAACTCTAGAGCAAATCCATAACTCATCGCTCTGGAAATCCCTTGTAAAGGCAACTGTATCCATGCACTTGCATTATACAGCTGTCACAATCATCTCTGAGCAAGTGGAATCTGCGCTGTATGGCCGCAACGGCCCTCCAGGGCCACGAACCACGGAGTTTAAGGCTATGGGGAACCACGGAGTTTAAGGCTATGGGCAGCTGGGTTTCAGATGTTTAGCGTTCATAAACATTTACAAGTTTACAACGTTTTCAAGCGAGGATTTCACATGGCAGTGAAGTGGCTCATCTTTGGCCTGATGTGTAGAAACCTGCTGGACCCTTATTATGGGGTTGGACTCTCTAAGTCATGCTAAACCCTAAACCCTAAAGCCGTTGCCTGGTCAGTCAGGTTTTTTCGGATTCCTCTCCCCTCACCATGCAACCAGGTTTGGGGCACCTCTGTCTGCGGGTGGAAACCGACCAAGGGGCTGAACTCCAAGTCTGCAAAGGCATCCCGCTGGAAGGTGTAGGCGAAGCCGACGCTGTGCCTGCTGGACGGTTCCCAGTCGGTTTCTACAAGGTTTCTATGATACGATGTGTTTCGTGTTTTCTGTGATTAGGGTTGCAAAAGACTAGGGGCCCGGCTCGGGGGACATAATCGTTGGGCTACAAAAAGCAACAGCAATATTCAATCCTGCAGAAGCAAGCTTTCGGACGCTCTGCTTGAAGCCCACATGACTCTTCCAAGCACGGCCAATTGGCTTTGGAGCTTTTCAAGGTATAGGGATGAGGGGGAAATGACGACAAACACCCGCTACCCAAGGCACTACAACCGTGACGGCTGGAACCTGAAAAGTCAATGCAGAGGAGGAGGGAAGCCAATAAATATAGGCCAAAAAACCTTTATAATCCAAGAACCATAACACCGCCGGGCCTTGCGGGTTACGTGGAGTAGGGGTTTAAGATTTGCTATTTTAATGAATTCTGTTGTTTATTACGCAGGCTTCTAATTCTATATTCGTGTTGTAAGTCTTGCCTGACATTCTTCGGTGGGGCTGCGGACGAGCCCACAAATGCCGCTGCTGCCACAGGGGCGCCTGGTTCCGTTTAGAGTTGAGTTTGGCGGGTTTTTGGGATTTAGTGTGTATAAGGGGCTTCGGGGTTTAGGGTTGAGCGGCTTTTGGCGGCTTTTGGGTTTAGGGGAAAGGCTACGATCTGCCTTGTAATTATAATGGGTTCTCCAATCAACGCGTACTGCAGTTCAGGTTCTGGCATGGAAATGGTTTGGGCTAATCCGGGATTGACTTCACTGCACCCTCCAGGAAAACAAAAACACTGGCCACCAAATAACTACCCTAAACCCTAAACCCTAAACCGCATTTAGCTGTCAAGGAACCTTCAGGACCTCAAACCCTAAACCCTGAACCCGAATAACGTGGGTAGTAGCACGGGCTTCTGTATTGCTGTACATGCCCAGGCACTTGGGGTGGCCGCGGGAGCTGCCGGCGGGGCATTCTTCACCTAGGATGCTTGGGACTACAGAACTTGTCCTTTTCTGACGGTTCAAGGACGGATAAGCTTTGGGGAAGGATTAAAGTGTCATCTTTTTACGGTTTAGGATAAGCTTTACTTGGAGGTTCATGGGTAGTTATAAATGGAGTTATAAGTCCCTTAATATAGGTTATAAGTATAGTTACCCTACTTATAACCCTCCTTATAACTACCCATGAACCTCCAAGTAGGGAAGGATTGAAGTGCGCCTCTACGCTTTGAGGCTGCAGATCCGGGGTCGGAAGGTCTACAGAAGCCTCGCCACGGCCCCGCAAAAAAACACATGGGGGTTTCAGAAAATAGGGTTTAGGGTTTAGGGTTTAGGGTTTAGGGTCAGAAAATAGGGGACCCTAATATAGTACCCTAAATAGTAGGATCCTTATTATAAGGACCCCCAAATAGGATACCCTAGTTGTCGGAAACTCCCACATGGCTCCGTGGTTGAAAATCGGCGGAGCGGCCTTGCATTCTGGATAGAAGTAGACTCGACGATTGAAGAAATGAAGGACTCTAGTGACAGGGTTTTAGGATTTAGGGAGTTTAGGGATTAGGGTTTAGGGTTTAGGACTCTAGTGCACTCCCCCTCTGTCCTTGATATGGCATCTACTAAGAATCTACTACTGGACGAATTTCCCAGTAAAGCCGCAGTCTCACGGCCTGTGAACTAATTATGCAAGGACCGAGGCCGCAAATCAATATCGCCCTGGATGAACTTTCAACCAGCCCATTTTCGGACAACAACCTCGCAACCGAAAGAGATGTAACCCTACACCTAAAAGCCTACACCCTAGACCCTATAAGCCCTACACCCCATAACCCTAAACCCTATCACCCTCTCAACCCCAAACCCCTAAACATCCAGGAACACGTAGCTCTGACAGCCCCACAGCCTGGCTCCAAACATGAACTCTCCGCTGAGCCAGCCGCGGAATTGTTGCCAGCAGTATCCAATGGGGTCCCATCAACCAAGTAGCCTGGACAGATAGACTTTGAGCACGGGCACAAAACTGAAGCTGAGTGGGCAACTGGTCTGGAAGATGGTATCCGGCAAAACAAATTATTTCTAGCTCTATTTACCAAGTAGCCCACATCGGCAGCGTACACCGAGGCCGGCAAAGGTGAACCGGGAGCATGCATGTCCGGTCCGATGCTCTCAGGATGGTTAATGGCGTTACCAGCTCGGTTCAGCGGCGTGCCGTCTGGGAGGTAGCCGACGGAATTCACGAAGATGGCACGGGGCAGTGGAGATCCGGGAGCATGGCTGTCCGGTCCAATGTTCTCGGGATGGTTGATGGCGTTCCCAGCTCGATTCAGCGGAGTGCCGTCTGGGAGGTAGCCCACATCGTTGCAGAACTCCTGGTCGGCGTACGCGTCCTTCTGGAAGCTGTACTCGAACTTGCGGCCGTGCATGGCGGTTCCCGGGCTGGTTGGGGCTGCTGCCGGAGGGGGTGCCGATGCAGCCATGGGTGCAGCTGGAGCACTGGAGCCCACGAAAGCAGCTGCAGCTGCAGGTGGCGGGGTGGCAGGCGCACCCTTGACGGAGTTGTTGCCGGCGGTGTCCAA